ACTACTATGTTTGCTTCCATTAGTTTATCAATTTGGGTCTTTAGTTCTTGCCTTTGAGAGGGTGATACTCTATGAGGTGAAGAAAATTTTGGCTGTTTAGCTGTACTTTTTAATTTAATTTCACATGGTTCTATGTTGGCTGATTTTATATTAGACATATCAGTGGTGAATAAATGTATATATTTTTGTATTAAATGTACCAAAATGTTGTGTTGATTAACAGTAAGATGCTCAGATATCTGTATAGGTGTATTTTCTGTGTCATAAATTTGCAGCTTGTTGTCGGCAANAAATGTACCAAAATGTTGTGTTGATTAACAGTAAGATGCTCAGATATCTGTATAGGTGTATTTTCTGTGTCATAAATTTGCAGCTTGTTGTCGGCAATTATGTTGAGTAGTGTTTCTTTTTGAGGTCTCTGATTTTTGTTTGTACATTCATTTATAATGGTGTCTATAGAAATAAAGTTTTCAGTATGAATGATTTTTGTTGGAATCTTTGAAGATTTTTTATTATTTTTTATTAATGTTCCTGGACACCAGTGTGTGCCATCTTGTAAGTTATATAATACAATAGGTGGTCTTGATCCAGAGCCAAATACATAACCTACTTTTGTTTTGGTTGAGTATATATATGTATCAAAATTGAAATTATTGGCTATTGAGGCAAGCTGATCGTCATGAAACCAATAATTGGGTAGTTCAGACAGTTTGAGTAATTTGCATATAGAGTCTATATTGATAATGTTATTTTCCTGGTTGTCGTTAATTGCATTAATTAATGAATAAATTCCACATAATCCATCAGACGGAACTGATTCACCAGGTGTATATCGTGAGAATATTTCAAGAAACGCTGTATTTATGTCTTTATCAGTTTTTTTATTTTTTATGCTTCCTATTCTTTTGAACTTAGTCTGAATGTTTGATATAATTTTTTCTGATCTCGGTGAAATATTAGGATAACAAATGAGTATTTCAATTGCCTCATTATTGAATAAGTCAAATATAACCTTTTTGATTATATCCCAATGAAGTTGATTGTTTGTTAAGTCTTTAGCAGAAAAAGCAATAAATTGAAAATTTTCTTCTATTGCTATATTTTTTAAATTATATAGACTATCGAATAAGTCTAAATAAGATACAGGTGAATCATGAAATTCTTTAATAATTAGATAATGAACAATAACTTTGTTACTAACTATAGTGCTTACTTGGCCTAAATGTAATTCTGTATCTTTAAGTATATGTGTTAAAATTCCATAATTTTGTATTATGGATTTAGAAATGTCTGAAGTGTGATTTAAGTCAATAGATGTACATTGGACTATTGAATATTTTTCAGGGACTTCTATTAGATCTATATGTGTTTCAAATATATTTTTTGAATGTGATGGTATTGTATCCTTATTTATGTCAACATTTTTAATTACTTGTGGAAATTTACTATTCATTAAATTTGTTTTAATTTTATTATTTAAAATGAGTGTTTTTTTTGAGTAATCTATTTTAGCATCATTATTACACAAAAAGTCATTGCCTAGAATAATGGTGCTGCTTAGATTGTCTATCACACAAGCTGTGAATTTGAATAATTTTTGTTCTATTTCTAGTTCAACTACTATGGTTCCTAAAAGATTGAGAGGTGAATTATCAGGACCAGATAATTTGTATTTATGTGTTCTATTAATTTTTGTATTATCCACCAAATCTCTTCTGATGGCATTTACATTGGCACCGCTGTCTACAGTGACTTCTATGAATTCGTTATGTAGTTTACCTAATATGTGTAGAGCATTGGCTTTTCTGTCATGATTTACTATTATGAGTACTGTATCTGATTCGTTTGAATTTGTTGTTGTTGGAGAGTAAGGTGAATGCAAGTCTCCAATTGAAGCATTTAACCTAAAAGGGGGTTTTTTGTATTTGAATCATTTTTATTATTTTTTAAGTAACATGCGTCTTCTGTATGATATCTTTTGTTACAGAATGTGCATATTAGTTTCCACTTACAATCATTTGATTCGTGATTGTTTCTATTGCAATGAATACATGCGGTTTTGGAATAATAAGAATTTTGTTGATTATTTTTGTTGTTATAATTCTATCTGTTATTATATCTATTGTTCTCTCTATTATTGTTATTATATATTTTGGCATTTTGATAGTTATTATTACTATAAGGTTTGTTGTTATACAATCCATTGTTTCTATAACTGTTGTTTCTTGTGTTAGGATTATTGTTATGTATTCTGTTATTATCATAATTATTATTTCTATAATAATTATAATTGCGTTCTCTGTAATCATTACTATTATTATTATTAAGCCCTTTTCTGTTGATATAATTTGTTTTGAAATTTTCATTTTTCGAGTTTTGTTGTGTAGATTGATTTCCAAAAATTGTGCATTTGGATAACATGTCTTCAATTCTTGAAATCTGTGATGCAAGAACATCTATGCGATTTTGATTATCACTGTTATTGATATTGAATATATTTTCCCTAGCTATATTGTGTTTAATTTCATCTTGGAATTCCGTTTTACTACCATCTATCATGAACTCGATAGATTCATACTTACGAATATTTCGTTTTAATTCTGTGAGAGTATTATTATCTAATATACCTACATATCTTGCTATTCTAGGTTGTAATCCTTTCATTATAGTATGAACTAATTCGGTTTGAGACATTTTGGGGTCAATTTTCTTACAAAGGGCTTCTGCTTCGTTTATATAACTGGAAATTGATTCATCAGGTAGTTGTTTGCGTTTATTTAAAATGGTGCGTAACATATGAGTTTGAGCTGTAGGTTCAAATTCTAGTCTTAACGCCTTTTCAGTGTCATCCCATGAAGCGTTTATATTATCGTTTTCGAAGTTATCAAAGAATAGAAGGGCCGTTTCGGTTAAATATATGGCCAAAAACNGAAGGGCCGTTTCGGTTAGATATATGGCCAAGAATGATTTTTTTTGTTCATTCGACCACCCGTTGATTATACTTGCCCTGTTGTATTTGTTCAGGAATGCGTTCACACTCTCATGTAGTGCGCCCGAAAATTTTTCAGGTTTACAAAATGGTACTCGTTCGGTCATTTTGTCAGTTGTATTTGTGTGTGTAGAAGAGATTATTGATTTTTCAGTTTGTGTAATTTTATCACAATATTTAATTTTATCGAAATCAGTAGTTGTACCTTCTATATGTCGTAATAATCTATCCTTTAATTCAGGTAAGGACCCTGTGCTAATTAAGTTTAATTTGTCTAATTCTTGTCTTGCTGATTTTATAGAAATTTTCTTTATAAATTCAGGTTTGTCTTCTGCAAATTCAAGTTCATATAAATCTTTTTGGAGTATTTTACTTATTTGATCGCCAGTTAAATCTTTTTCCATTAAGATGATTAAACATACGAAGTAGGTAAAATATGAAGTGGCTCAATATATGTGAGTTCTAGAATTTGTACAAGTTTTAATATTATTTTGATTCCTGTTTGTGGAAATAAAAATCCTCTTATTGTTTTATTAAAAATATGATTTGTGCAATTTACTAATATATCTCTGTTTTTTATATTAGTTTGTTTAAATGCTTTGTTAATATTATGCCTTATTAAAGTTTTGTATTTGATAATAGAACTTAT